ACCCTGCTCGAAAAATCTCCTCACCACCTTTATGGTTCCCTCTCGCAACTCTTTCTAGATTGGGGCCCTCCAATCTTCTACTTCCTCGATCTCTGCCACCTCGGCTTCAGCCGCACTCTTCTCCATGTGGAGCAGGTTCACACTCCTACTCTTATAGTCTACCAAATTCTGGGCAATTTTAGACAGCAAGTCAGCTCGACCATTCTCCCCCCGAGGTATCTGTATTAATTCAAACGACCCGAATTCCTCCTTCAACTTCCTCATGTTGTCCACATGACGCTGCAGTCGATCTTCTTTGATCTCGAACCCTTCTTGGAATTGACCGACCACTAATTGGGAGTCGGAATAGACCTGGATTTTCCGTGCGCCCCCTGCCAGGGCCAATTGTAACCCCTAACCGCTTCGTACTCCGCCTCATTGTTTGATACCCAGAATCCTACTTTGACGGCAAATTCTAAGTAATCCTCTTTGGGCGAAATCAAGACTATCCCCAAGCCAGCCCCGCTCCTCGACACTGAGCCATCTGCGAACAATTGCCACACGCCTTCCTCGTCTCCTTCCTCCTTCGTACCCTCCCGTATGAAATCGGCCAAGACCTGAGCTTTGATTGCCCTTCTTGGCTCATAAGTTATAGAGTACTCGCTCAGCTCGACCGCCCACTTCACTAGTCGACCAGATACTGCTGGTCGACCTAAAGTCTGCTCCAATGGCATGTTTGTGCGCACCTTGACCTTATGGTTTAGGAAATATGGCCTCAGCTTTCGGACCGTCACAACCACCGCCAACGCACATTTCTCTATTTCCGAGTATCTCAACTCTACTCCCTGCATCACCCGACTGACATAGTATATTGGGAATTGTGCCCCTCCCTCTTCTCGCAACAATACCGAGCTTACCGCATTCTCGCCCACTGATATGTAGAGCACAAGTTCTTCTCCATGTGTTGGTTTAGCTAATAAGGGCAAGTTTGCCAGCACTTCTTGTAGCTCCTCGAAGGCCTTCTGGGCTTCCTCCGTCCATTGAAACTTTGAGCTCTTCTTCAGGGTCTTGAACAGAGGACTGCTCTTCTCAGCCACCTTGGAAATGAATCTGCTCAGCCCCACTATTCGACCAGTTAGGATTTGGACCTCCTTCACACTGGTCGGTGGCTTCATCTCGATCACCGCTCTCACCTTCTCGGGATTCACCTTTATTCCCCACTTTGTCACCATGTATCCCAGGAACTTCCCTGCTTTTATGCCAAATGAGCACTTAGCCGGATTAAGTTTCATACCGAACCTCCTCAGTGTTTGGAAAGTCTCTCTTTGGTCGCTTACGTGGTCTACCTCCATTTTGCTCTTTACCAGCATGTCATCGACATATACCTCCATATTCCTCCCCAACTGGTCCTTGAAAATCTGGTCGACCAACCTCTGGTAAGTGGCCCCGGCATTCTTCAGTCCAAATGGCATGACCACATAACAATAGGTGCCTCTGCTTGTTATGAAGCTCACCCTCTTCCAATCTTCCTTTGCCAAGGGGATTTGATGGTACCCTTGTGAGGCGTTTATCAAGCTGAGCAACTCGCATCCCGCCGTGGAGTCCACCAGCTGGTCGATCCTTGACAACGGGTATAGATCCTTCGGGCAAGCCTTATTTAGATCACGGAAATCAATACACATCCTCCACTTTCCTCCCGATTTGGATACCATTACCGTGCTAGATAGCCACTCAGGGAACTGAATCTTCTTAACGTGACCAGCGTTCAATAGCTTTTCGACCTCCTGCTCGATAATTTTTTCCATCTCCGCTCCATGATGTCTCCTATTCTGTTTTACCGGCTTCACGCTAAGATCGATATTCAGCCGGTGCTCGATTATCTTGGCCTCAATCCCTGTCAATTCCTCCGCAGTATATGCGAAAATGTCCGCAAACTCCCTTATCAAGTCTACCAACCTCGACCTGATTGACTCTCCCAGCTCTTTCCCAATTCTAAATTTTCGATCATCCTTCCCTTCCACCATTTGGACCTCCTCCACCTCGTCCCCTGGTTTCATGTCCATTTTCCCCTTTCCCTTGTCTTGACGTCCCTTCTCCTCTTTCGACCTCGATCCTCCTGGTCGATCGGGCGGTTGCTCCCCTCCTTTCACTTGCTTCCTCGCCATTTGCTTGTTATTGCTAACAGTGGTTTGATAACAACTCCTCGATGTGAGCTGGTCTCCAGCAATCTCGCCCACATTTTCACCCACAGGATATTTGATCATCATGTGGTATGTAGACACAACTGCTTGGAATGCGTTCAATCCCGTCCTCCCCAATATGATATTGTAGGACGATTCCGCTCCTACTACTACGAACCGCACCATCCTCACCTTCCCAGTATCACTCGATCCCAACGCCACCGTTAGACTTACTTCGCCCATCGGCATTACCTCTCCTCCGTTAAAACCATACAAGGCCGTCACTACCGGTTTCAGTTCCAGATTCAGATGTTTGTTAATCTGCGCGAAGCAGTCATAGAACATCACATCGACCGAGCTTCCTGTGTCGATGAACACCCTCTTCACATCAAAACCAGCCACTTCCGCCGTGATAACCAGCGCATCGTTATGGGGCAATAAGATTCCTTCCGCATCCTCTGCTCGAAAGCTAATTATAGGCATTCGACCAGTTATTCCGATTTCCTCTCTCTTGCGTTTTACAGCTCGCACATGTCCCTTTCGCGCATTATTTGAATCCCCATCTGTGGGTCCTCCAAAAATCATATAGATTGTGCCCCTCTTTGCTGGTATCTCCACCCTCGGCTCCACTCGAGCACCACTCCCTCGGCTCCTCTTTTACCCCCTGTCGTCACCCTCTCTATCATCGTCTCTGTCGCTCCTTGCTACCGAATCCTCCCTGCACCTCCTTTTCTCCTTTCCTCGTGGTCGATCCCGAATGACAAACTCCTTTAAATGTCCTGCCCTTATGAGGCGTTCAATCTCATCTTTCAAATGTCTACAATCCTCCGTATTATGTCCATAATCCCTATGGAATCTGCAGTATTTACCGGATCTAGGCTTGGTCGGCCCCTCAAATCTCGTCGCTGGCCACGTGACCTTTTTACTCTCCAGCTTCTCCTTGATGGCCGCCAGGACTTCGCCCATTTGGGCGTTAATAGGAGTGAAAGTGTTATATCGTTGGCCATTGGGTAACCGAGGTCGCCCTTGCCAGCGGTCCTCTCGCACTTCGTGAAATGGGTTTCGCCCCTCCCTTCTGGGCGACGCTCTCTTGGATGAGCCATTCTTTAGGGGGTTTCTCCTAGGTGATCCTCTCCTGGGCGAATTCGGCTTTTCCTTCCTTTGATCAGGCCTCGCCACCTCTTCGAGTTTAGCGAACTCCGCCTCTGTCTCTTCCAAATTGATGTACTTCTTGCACCTCTTGAGCACCTCATCGTAAGTTCGAGCAGGCGTCTTTGCTAGTGACGTTCGACATGGTCCTGGTCGCAGACTTCTAATCAACCCTCCTGTCTTCACCTCGTCGCCCGCCGTGGGCACCTCCAAACACATTTGATTGTATCGAGCAACATATTTCCGCAGGGACTCTTTCTCGCCTTGTCGCATCGCCATCAAAGTGAGGTATGTCTTCTCCTGGGCGACCGCGCTTGAATATTGATTAGTAAGTTGTTCTTCGAAATCCTCAAAGTCTTT